AGAACGCTAGAGCTGTAATAACGGCGAATGAGTGGTCCGCGACAGCCGCGTGCGGCAAATCGATTACCCAAAATCGTTCCTAACGCCCGCCTCCCGGCTCTCTTGTACCCCATTAAAAGTACGATCCTGGAACTTTAATGGTGTCCCTTGTCTGGGCAACCAAAGATCAAGGTCGAGGGTATGGGAAGAAAAGTTCGGGCCCTGTGGCTCTTGTACATTCATTTCATCCCTTTCACTAAAAGAATTATCCAAAAATTTCTACAATGAAGACAAAAGACAAACAAAGAAATCGACCGGATAGAAAAAAGAAAAATCACGTGTTTCCTATAGAATAATAGAAGAAGAATAAATAACAGAAGAAATATGTACCCCAAGACGATGGTGAGGAGATGAAATGGACCGCCCATGGAATGGGTGGTCGCTGCTTTCAATTAAGATTCTAGATACTTAATGGAGGGAGCTTTCTTGAATGACGTTCATATGGCATTCTGGTGGTCCCAAAGCCAACAATACAAATGAACTTCCCCGACAGCTCCTCGCAAAATACTGCTATCTGGAGGGAAGTTCAGTCAATTCACCTGAATCAATCAGATAAATCGTAGATTCTAACTTTTTCAAACCAAATTTCCCTTACTTAAAAATAACCCGAAATTGAAAGCAGCTCAAACCCAAAAGAACTGCAGATCATCACTGATCCGGCGAACGAAAAAACGGCGTTGTCTTCTTTCTATTGGGTTATAACATAAGCTCGTAGAGTTTTGCGTTGGAGTTATTTTACAACGACTTGTTTTGTTTTTTAGCGGAGTGTATATATTCATTCGAAAGAGCTCTTTCTTCTCTATAGAACTGTTCAATTTGTTTTTCTAAATGATTTAAATGTTTGGGTTTTTCTGGTTCAGAAATGGGATATCCAGAAGGAAAAAAATCAGTATTTTCGACATCTGCTCTTCATTGCTTTTCAAGCGGCTTCGGCTGCTTTTCAAAAAGCAGCCGAGGCTGCTCGGGACATATACATGTACGGGGAAGGTGGCTCAGGGGCTTCTACTGTAAAATGGTTCGCAAAGTTTAAAAATGGCGACTTTCACTTTGGAGACACGCCTCGAAGCGGACGACCTGCAGAATTCGACGAAAAGCATCTGAAGGCACTATTGAAGGAAGATGGTCGTCAAACCACTTGTGAATTGGCTGATTATTATGATGAATCATTTAAAAATTTATTATTATAAATTGTTTTTTGTTCGAAGGAATCTTTGTGAGAAAACTCTACGAACTTATGTTACAACCCAATAGAAAACTCTAAGACAGGCCCTCCACTACCTATAGTACCACCTTAAGTATGATCGATAAGTTCCAGAAAAATCACAGTAATCTCTGAAAACATGAGCATGAAGGATCCGCATGCAGGAGTACAGGAGAGGTACAGGAGAACAGTGTCGGATTCCACACGTGGGCGGTGAACAATGCTGAGAGCTGCGCGAAGAAATTGGGATGGAATTCCAAAGGGGAACAGGGTAATAATTAATGGTCCACCAGTTGTTGTATTACATATTCGTGCGATTTTCACTGTGAACTGTTGATTTTATGGTCCGGCCAGTATAGGATGGTTTGGGTTAATGCCGGTCCTCCGCGTATCCTAATGCAATATATACCTTCGAGTTAAGATTTTTTCGTGGTTTTCTATGAAAACTGATGGGGAAAGAGCCACTCGGGGAAATATCCAAAGAGAGAGCAGAGAAAATCGGATTTCTTATAAATTTGTCCATATATTTCATCCCTCAAATTGCACCAGACCTCTCCGAGTGGATAAGTACCATCTCATTTATTCGCTGGCTATTATCTCATTTATTCGCTGACTATTTGAAGTCAATTGGTGAAAAGGAAACGCAATGGCCCTTTCTCAATCGGAACTATTTCGTTGAGAAAAAGCACATAAGAAAACGATGTTCATGGAATTTTCAGTGAAATGAGGGTGTCTGCATGATGAGAACAGACGAAAATTTACGGGCGAAGAGACGTGGTATGGTGGTGGGCGATTACTACAAAAGATCAGCTTTTTCAAGGCAATGACCAACTCAAAAAAGGAATTCACTGGCCGGGTAAACTCAGTAATTCTAGGATCTCCGCCCGCCCATACTTTTATAGTGGGCAGTACCGCCGTTGATTTTTTATTCGGATGAACTCAAGTGTTAGCAGAAGCCTTGGAATTCTGCTGCATATTTCTGTACAAAACACATTTTATCATTACCGGGATTTTCAATAAAACAAAATACAACCGTAAAATGATAACTGGCGAGACCAGTTATGGCCTTACCAGTACTGATACTAAATGGTACTTAATGATTCGACTAAGAGCCTTACATAGGCTTTTACTCATTGTTGGCCATTGAAAAATATTACGTATAGTTTTCTTTTAAAACTTTTCCTTTTTTACGATATATCGATTGAAAATAAATAATTAGATATGTAAATTTGGAGAGCAAGATTTGAAAACTTTCCGTAAGGACTATTGGACAGACCATTACGAGCCACATTCGAAGCCGGCATCAAACGGCTATTAGGCAAGAATGTCTCCCCATTAGTACGGGCACAGGCTGAGAGCAAAAAGAGTTCAGGGCGTCTTTTTTTTGAAAAACTTCAAATTTCCGAATTGATAAAACCAAAGTAGAACGCAGTAAAAATCAGAAAATAATCCAACGGCGACAAGAACAAGAAGGAGAACCCCTGTAACCACATAGGAAAGCTTCATGCACAGATGGAAAGTGGTTGATTCTCAGTGAAGAGGAAAACAGTCAGAAGAACGTGTCGATGACGGAAGCATGGTAATAAATGCCCTGTGCAAAACCGTTGCAAATACCGCGATGTATATCTTGGAAAGGAATCTTGCTAAGCAGTCGCATTATTTTTGGTGATGCTAAAAGTCGAGTGTCGTGGTTGAATTGCGGCTCCCATGAGACCGATGGGCCCGACCTTGGACGCTCGGGTGGAGAATTTAAGTTACGAGCGAAAATCAAATGCCACCACAACTCATCCTCGTTCTCCGACTAACTCAATTATATATCGCNCGCAGTAGACTCTTCAGAAATCTGAGTAAATACAACGACTGCAAGCAAATACTTGCAAGTAAAGTGAGATCGAAAACTGCAGAAGCAACAGAGCTTCATTAGCGACCCAAATTCGACAAAAAAGGGTTTTCGTTGATAGACTTCCAAGAAAATTCGAGAAAATGAGCATAAGTAGTGAATACCGAGAGAGTGAAGATCAAAAAATATGGGTTAGCACTAGCGACTAGCTTCTCCTTACCCTTGACCATGTAGGATTTGAGAGAGACAGCACTGCCAGTGAGATACACTTCAAAAAACCCCTATCGGCACATTTAAACAGCCTGACCCCATCTTCTCACGTAGAGGTATCAGGAGCGTTAGAAAAATTTTACCATGGGACCATGGGACACCGAGTCAATGTGCCCGAGGATAACTCTCCCTCCGAGGAGCAGCTCAACGGGGAAAACGGAAAAATGCCTTCTTCGCCCAACACGAATGATTCAGGCGCTTTCGAAGATGGCTAACTAGTGACTCGGACTTGGATTTAATTTCCTATCAAGACTGAACTAAAAGCTCGACTCGAGTGAGTTCTTATCAATAATTGAATTTTTGCAGCGACTGAATGGCGGTGAAATTGAGACGGAGAATTCAACGAATAAGAGTTTTTACCAAGTAAAATATATTACTGTACTATTATTCCCTCCGATGTTATCCAATAATGATAATACGATTCTGAAAAGGAGGGAAGGGCTCTGTTCAACTGTTCTGTTATCATCAGGTGAGCTACACCCTTCTTCTGTAGAGAATCTGTGAAATAATAAGCATTCAGCAAATGTTTAAGGTCACGCCATGTATCCGTCTTTCATTCAAAAATGTGCTCGAGCCGTACTGAATCATATTTGGCCTACATTAGACCATCAAAATCACAAAATTTTGCTGCCGATACCCCTATTCTACCGGGCAAACTTGTTGCAGAGAGCTGACTCTAGATTAAGGGAAGGTCTAATGTAAAAAGGTTGCCATCTGCGGTGTGCGTAAAAGCAGACCCTCTGCCATAACCCCACTCCTCTTATTCTTTTTTGGAATGAGATGATGTTAAGAAACAATCACATTTATTCCGACGACTTTTGAAGGCAGAATACAATTTTGGTTGTCATCATTTATATGGTAACAGCGTTCGCATGTTTTCAGTCATTCAAATCGCTATCCTCATCTGTAGCATATACTCCCTCTTGAGGCACGTCTTCACGACGTTCAAAAGAAAAAAGAGCTCCAAATCGGAAACGACACACCACAGCAAATTTCTGGAGTACCTGAAGGAGGTGCTTACAAGGGGTCATTGCCTTCTGGTGGTATTAATGAGACTACAAGGGGTTTTTGATAAAATGAGAATTAGTTGCCCCATCAAGCCATATGAACCACGTCGCATACGCCCACGACTGAGTTGCGTTAATTGTAACCGTATGCTTTTTTTAATATTTGAGCCTGTACTGCTGAATGCACTGTCTCAAGAGCACTTGGAACAACCGAAAAGCTGGATGGAAAGGTGATGAGAGAAAAAAGTTGTGCTTTCAGCGGATCGAGATCTCGCTCAGGCTCAAAGAAGGAATCAATCCCGGTTGGCTGAACGAACTTTCACAAAGTTTTAAATTTTTTTCTGAGTCAACGGAAGCTGTGCAAAATTGGGTTCCATTACCCGCGCAACAATTGCACCAAAACGCTCCCCCTTCCTCCATTCCCTTTTCTCAGCTTTTCGTTCATTCTCAATATTTTACAAGCGGCTACGTTGCAGCTAACCTCAGCTTCATACATTCGAAGCAATCCTTTATTCATCCGGTCCCAAGTATGGATAGCTGTGATATTCCATAATTCTTGTGAGTGTTCGTGAAATTCTCCTTTCTTTATCTGAGAAAATAATGATCATGTTTGTTGGTAATTTTCTATATTGAAGTTTCATTGGGTTTTTAGCTTTTAGGGCCTTCACTGAAACTAGAAAACTCGATTGGTATAGAGCCTGGAGCTCAAATTCCAGTGAGATGAAAGCGATGAATGTGAGTGACATTTTTAACAGAGTGTACGCTATTTATCGGATGCTTCTGGGAAATCCTCAGGATATACCGCAAAGGGTTGACATAACTCACTGTGGAACAGCATCGGCTTAAGTCGTCAGTGTAGGAAGATCTGAATAAGCCGCTGGTCGTCTTCAGTGAGTTATGTCATCACTGCTGAAGGACTAGCTAGTCTATGCATACAAAGCCTTTACAAATGGCACTGCTGTCACAGTCCTCAAACCAGGGCCTCCAGCACCAGCAAAGCATCCAAGGAAAAATCCTCGGTTGTGATAGCATCGCTAGATTGCTCACACCGCGGTAGGAGATGCGAAGCCTAACGTCAGCTTTTAGCCCGGAAGGTCCTCCATCACCGATAATATAAAACTTTAAGGTCACTGTAATCAATGGCCTTCCCTCAAACTTCTAAACTAAGCCACTACTCGAAATGTAAGATTCTTAGGATTTGTTGACTCTATGAGCCCTAATAATGACCATAACGGATTCCATGATGGGGATAGGATAATACCAAGAGACACCAACTGCTGATGAAGAGGACGGGAATCAGAACTTCAAATCGATGACCATCTCGACGAACCAGGTTTTCCATCCCTTCCAAGCTGGGATATTAAAAGCATTGATTTGCACAATGACTGACCTCCCTTGCAACTGCATGGACCAACTATGTGTTCAAACGCCAACAAAATTCTGAGTGCAAATCGGATGCGTGGACGGATCCACAACCAGAGAAGAACTGATCAACTCGGAAACTACATTCCAATATTAGGAGATGACCTCTTAGGTTCTATGTTCTCTTTGTTTCAATTCTATAAGCCTTCTAAGTCCCTAACATTGCTTGGATGTGGGTAAAACTCGATCGTTTCTTCGTGAGCGTCTCTCTAAACATTGCTCGAAGCTCTGAGCTCCAATCGTGAGTCATTTTTATCACCATAGTCGGCACATCCTTCAACATCCCTGGGTCATCCAAGCGATGTTTCGGTAAATACTTTGAGATTAATGACAGCAGCCAGATGACCACGAACCTTAGCAATCAAGTAACGAGCCAATCATTTGAGAAGACAACCAAAGTCAGTCGAACGGTTTATCCATCTGTTTGAGGGTTCAGTAAAGGTTTAAAAGCTCGCGTTCATTCTGAGTCAAGGGAACTTATTAACTCTAAGACTATTATTAAATTCAGATTAGGGTGGAAAGCCTGAGCCGCATTTTATCGGAAGCTCTTTATGAATTTCAGTTCACACATACAAATAGACACAAAAACATAGTTTTTTGTTTCTTCTTATTTATCAGCTTATAACAACACGAAGAAATGTAGCTACTAGGTGAACCGCAAAACGTCGCTGGTGCGGTGGATAAGGTCGGATTCCGCAATATAAAGCCAAACTCCAGGCTCAATCAAGACTGAGCCGATAAAAGGCAGCATAGATATTTCCCAGAAAAAAAAAATAACCACAACACCGGCTGGCTGAAGTATGTTATAAAGGCCCAAAGACATCTTCAGCCCTGAATGAGTCAAGACTATTCATCCACCGTCGATAGCGGTCACCTTCAGTCTCGTTACTCCAACTCGGACGTATTTATCACTGTTATATAAATTCTTACCTGAAAGATATAGCGAACAGCATCAAAGACGAGATAATCTTCGGCGAATTTCTCCACTAACGCCCTATCCGCGTACGACTCCGGTACAAGGTCCACCTCATTTCCTATAACGATAGAAATAAACTAGCGCATTCCTATAATGGTACCATAGAAGAAAATCTGTACGAGAAGGAACCCAACTCTTAGGGTTTTTATAAGAGTGTAAAGATTGCGTGAAACAATGAGTAGGGTTCATTTACTCTTGAATTATGAAATCAAAAAGATACGGTATACAAACCGTTAACATTACCTATCAACTGAGCGCTTCCCCACACATACGGCATGAACTGGTAGTCATCGATGGCGAACTGAGCTACAGTCGTTGGTGGCATCCGATAGAGTTGCTGCAGGGTTCGACATAGCTTGAGGTATCTGAATTCAATGTCATTTCAAAGGACGGTTCAAACCAAGTTGGGGGCAGACCTTATTTATGATAGCAGGAGCTGTGAAAACTTGTAGATTTTAAACGATTTTGATATCTTCCAAAGACAGTCTGCCACAAACGAGTGACTCACTGATACCATGATATAAGTTACTATGAAAACCATCGAGCATTTTCGATTATCATCAGTTTGTGCTCTCATGGTTAACAGTGACTCGTTTCCGCAGGTTTTTACACTGGCAAAATCAATACTCGCCCGAGACTTTTACGTGGTGATCGATAACAATCAATGAATTGATCAGAACTCTCCCAACAAATTGCCCAAGCTAACTGAATTCGATTGAGAAAAAAGGCTCAAGAATGCAGTTAAGGGCGAAGGGCAACGTGGTGACGGCAGGTCCATCTAGACGACATAAGTTTATCAATAATTAGGAGCCACCATAACCCGCTACAAAACCCGGAGAACCATTACCCATTTACAAGAATTAAAAACCTTCCGGAACACAAAAGCTTAAGAATATGCTGCAGTGCTCTACATAAAATCATGAACATTTAGTAGATTATCAGAGAAGCAAAGTGAAAAGAGCAGCGGAGATTGAGTCCTCCTCATCACCGTTGATATTAGCGAAAGAACGAAGAGAACGTGTTACTGACTCTTTGATAATCCTCATTTTTTTAATCCGAAGATAGTGATCATATATCTGTGGTTTGCATATAACCCGCTACAAAACAGGCTACCAGCTACTACGACCAGCTAGCTACTATAAGAACACTTAAGGAGACTATTTCCACATCGGTGTTACTTTCTCCAATGTTCTTTCCAGCTTTTCAGGGGGTACTACTGCACCCAAAACGGAAGAGTTCCACGAAGGAGTTAAAGATGACAATCTATTTGTCCAGCATTTCGTCCTCACTTAGAACCTTCGATGTAGCGGTCTGCACAAGAAAGGTCAGTTTCTGCTTCGAAAACCAAATACTCTTTGGAATTAACCGCTGGATTGCTTTGATACAGAAAATGTGTAGTAAACACAGTTTATTTTCAGGAGATAATCTATGAACCCACTGCGTACCGTAGCTCGTTTGCGCTGGCTGGCACGCATGCTCGGTGTCCTTTAAAATCGACGCGGCGACATGACTCACTGAGTGCACATAGAGTGCTTACTTGAGGGAATCGCGAAGTATGTTCTGCTCAAACTTTATCCAAACTCTAGAATGATTTTGGACCAAAATACGGGTACGCAAGGACAATGGGCGTGCTGCACCGTGTGCAGTCTGCGGTACGCAATGGGTTAACAGTTAAAGCTCTTATGCTTCATTTGAAGTTTCCCAATAATTTGATCAAAAGAACTTACCCGTCGAACACTCGTAAAACAACGGCCTTGTTATCGGTTTCATCAAGGAAACCGATACGATAGAGGCACATCAGAAAGATGAGAAAGGAGGCTTCATTGCCTAAAATAGATAGATGTGATAGAACCATGACAAATGAACAGCTAATGAATATTGGAAGGAAAATTCTTTTAAAGAGAATCTATGTTTATAAACAAATTCTCATATTTTCGAGAAGCACTATCACAATTATTGTGAACTAACATTTCAAACTGAACATATAAGTACCCAGGTAACACAAAAAGCCCACTCGACACTGCGACTAGTAGTAGTTGGACACACTAACTAAATTCGGAGATGGAAGTAGAATGGATTAGATTTCGAGCAGTGTGAATAGAAAAGGCTGCAAATCGGAAAGTCGTACATTAATTCAGAGCATCTGGATGAGATGGATTAGAACGGTCGCATATTGATTGATCACATTTTTTCATGGTCATTAGACTTACAAAAGTATGAATATTTCAAGAAAGTCAAGGTAACAGGTGAAGTAGCGAAATATTTTTTAGTTCCACTTAGGAAATCCTTACCAACACCATAATCGATTTCTTCCGGTCTTCCAAATGAATCGATAAGATATGCTGATAGTTCAACTATTGCGGGATAAAGTTCTGGTCGTAAAAGTTCTTCCATTAGTGAAGTCAGGTTCTGGAAAATCTCAACTCTTTCTTCAGAGTAATGACTTCTCATAACAACGTAACTATCTTGAGCTAAAGTTTATCAACATGTAAAAGGAAGCTGCTCATTAAGAATCCGATTATCTACGGGATACCTACTGTACAAGGGAGCTCCAGCTTTCTCAAACCCCATTCAGTGGCGTTTGGGCCTTCTGTGCCAGAAAGTGAAAGAACTGGGAGAACATGTCTGCATTCTGGGCTTGTAGCGGCTAATATTTCACCTTAGAAAGCAAAGAGTGCCATTTGCGAAATGAAGGATCTCCGCTGCCTTCTTCAGAAGTTTTTTCTGGTGGGAATTCCTCGAGCCAGCTCTGAAAGGCAATATCCTTATACCGAGTTCGAAACAAAAATCCTTCATTCCTTAAATTCTTCTCTTGTGAAAAAGCTAACCCTAAGTATATCAAGCAGGTGGAGAATAGATTCGGAAGATTTTGGTATATAGACCGTATCACTTGTTCTAATTCCCACTATCGCTTCATTTAGCTCTCTGATGAATGCTGTGAGATGACGATAGCCCTAAAAAAACACAATCTATAACATACAGTATACACTGAGCTGTGCGAAAGAAGCTGTTGGAATAGGAAGTTTGTTCTCCTCCTTATACATAAACCTGGTGTATCAATTTACACTTTTGTAAGTTTGTTGGGCTATCTCTCCGTCCCCAAAACTTCTCATAACTATGAAATGGGAGACCATCGCAAATTGAGGTTTTGACACTTGAAAAGAAGTTCAAAGAACAGGTCGGTGAAACGTTGCATACTTCACCTAGCATTTCCTGTCAATCGATAACGATCANTATTTTTAGTGGGAACTCAGAGGGATTGTCCTCTATGACACCGATCTCACTACTAATAACTCCAAACGATGTTCTAGCGTTCATACGCAAGAGCCTTGAAGTGGAAGCACTATGACGTTTATCTTCCCATAATCAAAAGCACAGAGGAGATAAAACAGGCATATTCGCTCAACTAATCTTAGGTTGTGTTTGACAGCGGACTTTCCGCACATATAAAGAGTAAGCCCTGATGCACGTTCAGAAATGTAGGTGGACCAAATGAAATTAACAGTCTATCTCACCTCAGTGAAAGTAAATGGATGTACACGAAATATTGAAGTGATCCGCACATCAGGCTCGACGAATGTCATGTCTTCCACATACGCTTGACTCATTCTGACAATAACTGGCGAACACCACCAACATCATACGGTCTATCATCGCAAATTCTATGATAAGATATCCTGAAAGCTCATTTCTTGATAATAGAGACCGGTCAAAGGCTAGAATATTTCTGGAAAAACTCTAAAAAAGGAATGACCAGCGCCATCTGCCTGATTCTTTATCAGAAAGTGTGCAATCGTCAAGGGATTAGGACAATTCCGCTGCTTCCAGATAAACTGCAAAGTGTAATACCTATCGGATTTCCCCAAAACCTCCTTTTTCCTCGTTGGTAAGACTAGTAGTCCATTTTTCCTCTTTACGCCGTACCTCGAACATTCGCCATAATATAAAGAAAGCTCCCCTCAACGTGATCTCAAACCAGTTGCCCGTGCAGTTGACCAATACACTGAGAGGAAATGCTGAAAACCTGTTGGGTTCCTAAGTGGTATTCATCTTGTACTTTGTTCCGATTTTCACAGATAAATTTAAAATACTAAACTGTTCCGCCCTGCAGAATTTAGTTTTACCAGCACAGATCCTATGGTTAGATCTGCTTTGCTCCCTGACACAGCTTTCTACTAATCTAACGACAACTTCCAAGATGCATTTTTAATCGAGCCTATTACCCTAAAAGAAAATTGGATATCTGTTCGAGACAGATAGTTAGATGAGGTAAGACGGCTGGCAAGCGCTGTACCAACAAAAAATCCAAGAACGGTTATCTCTAACTCCTACCTCTTCACTTGGGTATTTGAATTTCTCAACGATTTGTAGGGGAAGTTGTTTTAGAATTCCAAACATAAAGTACAAACTTTCTTGAGCGAAATTAACGCTCGGCTCCATTTCAACACATCCTAATGAGAAATTTTATGGAACTATACAAACTTCATAAAGTTCAAAAACTAAGTAATTTTCAACGTATATATACAAACAAGTAGTAGTGGAATACAAAGGGTACCGGAACTATAACTGTGAAGAACGATATTTACATTCCACAACAACAAAAATTCATATTGTCGAAAAAATAACAAAATCCAGATAGGAAACACAATAAAGCAAGAGAACGTCATGCAAATCCGTTCTTGATATGTAAATCAAATCAACAGATCACATCAAAGAAAATCGTAATCATTCGAGTGAGTGTTGGCATCTGCTCCCCCTCGAAACTCAGGGTAACCAGTTCTCGATTAATTAAGAAAACCACATAGGATCTCGACTGTAAGCTTAAGTTCTGAAGAAAAACATGCAAAACTACTTCAGCTTTTGCCAGTACATCAATAAATCTACTGAGAACCATAAATGTTCAGGCTAAGATCTCAGACATGGAATGGATGACGGTTTTTTGGCAAAGATCCCTTTCAATCTAAGAATAGGTGTCACACGTTGATATATGGACGATGACCTGAAATCCTAGAAATACTTAGATGTCAATTCAAGCAAATTACAACAATAAAAAACAATACAAATAATCTGCGCAAATTAACCAGTCGGTTCGTTGACACTGATTTCAGTTAAAAGCTTTATCACCCATTATCATACATTATCGCTAAACATAAAAAAAAAACATCAAATTTTCTGCTGGTATTCGAATCGATGTGTCTAATAAGTTAGTTTAGAGGCAACGAAAATCCACTTACTCATTCTTCTCCAACTTTAACGTTGAGCAGAGCGAATATCCAGGAAAAGCGGCAGCGTATGGAGATATACTTTGATAGGGAGACACATCTGAATCTGTAAATTATAACTGTTATCTTTACATATAAAAAACCCCAGGCATGAGAACATATAAAAGCACATATAAAAAGACAAAAAGCAAAGAGCAAAAAGCAAAAAGCAAAATAAAAATTGCCTAAGAAGAAAAATAAGTCTACACAAGGATTCACAAACCTCTACGGTCTGCAGTGCTTCCGTCACTTGTCGCCAATATACCGCTATCGAGCGAATTCGCCGATTTTTGCGGATAAACAGGTTCTTCTTGCTTTGATGTTGTATTGCAAACACCAGTGACACTTATTACGAGCCCTGACAGCTGCTTGGCAATGCTAGTGCTAACAGAGATGTCCTCAACTGCAGATTGCTGTATTTGGTCTGAAAAGGCTTGCGTAAGTTCTACAAAATGGAAATATTATGTATATTCATATTGAAAGTGGATAGAACGCAATACAACTGACAGTAGAGAGGACTCCTAGCTTCGTACACCAACTCGTCATCAATCACGGAAGATGCAATCGGAACTCGTGGTTTACTGTGATCCCGTTTAGGCCTGAATTTTGTTGTAATCATCTTTTTGAATTTCCATATAACTAAGGAAGTGTATGGCAGTAATATAAGCTACCAGTTACAAAGCGATGGAACAAACTCAACATTTTCGACCACGCGATTGACACCCCTTGTTATTATTATAAGCCATCAGGCTTCACAGGAAATTTGAACCTTAGCTGTCCCATAAGGTACTGCTCTAAACTTTTGGGCTTGTCAGAAACAACTATTCCGAATAAAAATTAAATATACTAAACCTTGAATAGAGGAATGGTCGGAAACATATTTTTCATTTCATATAAAGCAAAGGTGAGGAATATGGGGATTATGTTTATGTTTACGCGCACAAAAACATAGTTATGGGGATACTTACCTATTAACTCGTCTATGTGCGCTTCGTCCTTGCCCACGTTGCCGTTCAGTTCTCAAAAAACGTCCCCAAGGCAAGCTTCGTTGTGAATCATTACGAGGAGTAGATGAAGCAACGGGTGGTGATGGGTAAGAAGAACGAGGTAGCGATGGCAAGGTAGTCAGATCATGGCCGTTATGACGGTTGACGCAACATTCAAGGCATATAATACAATCCTAAAAAAGAGTTCTAGAATATTAAAAAGATGATTACCTTCCAAAGGAGCCTTCTACTTATATAGAGAAAAGTCATACCAAGGTCAATCCCGCCGACATGTGCTTGTTCATAGCGCGGCTGCAACTTAAACATCGTCGCATT